GGACTGCCTAAGTATTTTTTCTAGTTCTTAATAAAACTTATCAATGATCACCTATTAATTGCACTTAATTTAAAACATTGATATCCACAGCAATTATTTTTTATTTTTTGTTTGTTTTTTTGAGTTGGAATCTCACTTGGTCACCCAGACTGGAGTGCAGTGGCCGCTCTCGGCCACCACAGCCTCGACCCGCTGGGCTCCGGCGATCCTTCCACCTCAGCCTTCCAAGTAGCTGGAATTACAGGCAGGAGCTACCACGCCCGGCTGATTTTTTGATTTATTGTAGAGATGAGGTCTCGCTGCCCAGGCGGGTCACGAACCCACGGGCTCAGGCTATCCACTCACCTCAGCCTCCCAAAGGTGTGGGATTACAGGCTGAGCCACCGAGCCCGGCTAGCAATTATTTTTGAAAGATTATTAGCCTTACAAAATTATGGTAAAGTCGCTTACTCCAAAAAATAAAGTTCCTGTTACAATATATCTTTTTCCTTCATCACAGATTAGTTTAAAACCCTAGTTAATCAGAATAAAGTTTTCTAGAACTAGCTGCATTAATACATGATGGTGATGATCACAATAATAATTTAAAAAGAATAAAAGCCAACATTCATTAAGCACTTACTATGTGCTAAGCCCTTTGTATTATCTCACTTAATCCTCACAGCAACGCTGTTCTTAGGCCTGTTTTATGGTTAAGAACATTCATGAGCCATATGAACCCTGTTCCTCACCCATGAATCGGCATTCTTGAAAAAAATGCTCAGGGAGGCAAGTAGAAAAGGAGGCCATCTTTCTAAATCACTAAGCGCTTTTCCCCAATTAGTCGGAAAAAAGGCTTCAGATAAATCTACCAAACTGAAGAGAGAAAATTATTTTTAAAGGTTAGCATAGAAGAATGGCCGTCCTTAGACTGTTCCATCCATAAACACATTTCACATCTTAGATTAGGCTAATAAGATTTCTGAGACCCCTCCTCTTAGGAAATCTGAATGCCTGATTGATCCAAGCTGGCCGAGGTCAAACTGCTCCCCAGTAGGAGAACATTTTACCCTGGGTTTGGATGCAGCCCCTCACTTTCCTCAGCGTGCAGAAGGCCACACACCATTCACAAATTACTTGCAGCAGAATATGCTTGTGTATGAAATGCAGTGATTTTTGTCACCAAGAAGTTATAAACTGAGAAAATAAACCCAGTTATTTCTGAAATAATTAGAGATTTTTTAATGTGAGGGCTTGATGTTTTAAAAAATTTCTTTAGAAACAGTTTGCCTGGTGTCACTTCATATCACAGGTAGGCACATTGAATAGAGACGTTTGGGTTCAGAGGTCTTAAAGGGACCTGAGTGGTCACTTTGACCCACCTCCTCACTTTGGAGATGAGAGAATACACCCAGAGATGATAATGTCGTTCTCAGGGGCACATGAGAACACACAGGGAACGAACGACTCAGAGTTCTCTCTCCTGCTCCTTTTACCGTCCGGGCTGTCCAGGATATAACCCCATTTAAGCACCTCGTGGATGGAATCAGCAACACCCTCTGAATCCAGGTGATGATGTGGCAAGGTTCAAAAGTATTTGCCAGTTCCTCTTGACCTTAATTTTAACTAATTTTCGATGAAATAATAACAAGGACGTAAAGGACTTTATTCCAGAGATTTCAAAACATTCAGTTAACAGTTCATACCAGATATAGGTGGAGAATTGAAGCAGACAAAGGTTAAAGGGGTGAGAGATGGGGAAGGAACTATACTACAAGAATCAGGTGATTTAAAAAGTCTGCAAGTTGCTGGGCGTGGTGGCTCACGCCTGCAATCTCAGCACTTTGGGAGGCTGAAGTGGGAGGTCTGCCTGAGCCCAGGAGTTTGAGTCTAGCCTTGATAACATAGTGAGACCTTGTCTCTACAAAAGAAAAAAAAAAAAAGAAAAATTAGCTGGGTATGATTGTGCACACCTGCAGTCCTAGCTACTCGGGAGGCTGAGGCAGCAGGATCACCTGAGCCCAGGAGTTCAAGGCTGCGGTGAGCCATGATCGCACCACTACACTCCAGCCTGGGTGACAGAGTGAGACGTTGACACACACACACACAAAAAAAAGTCTACAAATCCTTGTGTCATTCAAAGCTGTGGCCAGATAGAGGCAGAAGACAAAATGATTCTTATTCACATTTCTAGCCTAACTTCCCCTCCTCAGTTTAGTTTATAAAAAAACATTATATCATATCAATGTTCATAGCAGCATTATTCACAATAACCAAAAAATGGAAATAACCAAATATCCATCAGCAAATAAGTAGACAAACAAAATGCAGTATATATACAATGAAATATTATTCAACCTTTAAAAGGAACAAAGTACTGATCCATGCTACAATATGGATGAACCATGAAAACATTCTGCTAAGTGAACTAAGCCAGACAAAGTGGGTGATTCCACTTATATGAGATATCTAGGAAAGGCAACTTCATAAATAAAGTAGAACAGAGGTTACCAAGACTGAGAGGAGGAAAGAACGAGGAATGATTGTAGAATGGGTGCAGAGTTCCTGGCTGGGATGATGGGGAAGTTAAGAAACGAAACGTGGTAATAGGCGTGCAACAATTTAAGTGTACTTAATACCACTGAAATGTACACTCAGAATGGTAAAGACGGTAAATCTTATGTACATTTCACCACAAAAATTTTGATCAAATCAAAATCTGAATCATATCCTTTTATTTCTCTTTTGGAATTCCTAAACTTTATCTTGTTGATTCATTGCCATAAAACCCCACGTTTCCTTTCAAGATCTGCCTACTGCCAACAACGTCATGGACAATCTGTGTATATTCATACACATGGATATACACAGTCACACACAGGCCACTTTGTGGCCTGCAGTGATCCAGCCACAGACTTATCCACCCCAAGACCTTGTTGATGACTCCAAGAGGATGCTCACGGCAAGATTTAGGCAATTGGCGTTACTGGAGATCCAGGCAGCCAAACACCTTGACAAACACCCTGTCTTAGTTCGACCCTTAAAGTCCTCACCATGGGGATATGTATTTAATATATTTTATCAATAATGAAAACTGTGTGCATATACCAGAAAGACCATCAGGACTTGCTCACCCAGGTGTGTGAACAGAGATTTCAGTCTATATACGGCTATTTTGGCGAAATTGGCAATTACAAGTTATGCAGAACAGTGGGTGTCCGTAATGCAAATGTATATAATTAGGAGCTAAATCTTTGTACCTTTACAGGACATAGGACATAATAAGCAGGATGTACCACTTGTGACTTCTGAGGAAAGGAGAGCTTTTCATTTCTCCTTAAAAGAATCCATTTCTCATGAGGCAAAAAGAATCTGAGAACAAGAGTCTTTTGATACAGAAGCAGTGAGTTGGGGGGGGAGCCGAGAAATGAGTTTTGTGTGTTATAGTCATAATCCGTCACCCAGACCTGAGAGGTGTCCATCCTGTGCCATACCATGACCTTGACTCAACTTCAACATAGATTTTTCACAACATCTTTTGTGAACACATAGCCTGATAACTGAGTCTCATAAGCGTTTAAAGATCTCAAGAGTTTGTGTAGAAAAATAATCTCTAGTGATATTTCCCATTGCCCACACACATGGACATTTAGCACAAACAAACTGCCACTTGTAAGAAGTCCACTTGACATCAATACCTCATGCATCCTGAAGACACATATCAAGATCACACTAAGGTATTTAGAAGTAAACATCTTTAGAATAATGTTTTGTTCCCAAAGTGCTTAATTAGCAGAAATACTATGCTAGAGAATTGTCCTTGAATATGCATGCATTTTAACCTCCATGTTATTTTTTCCGAAGGACAAATTTTCCTCTCACTGGATGGTCAGGAAATGATTGGGCACAGAAAATGGACCACCTTAAGTGTCAATCCACAAAATGAGTTCCATCTTTCCACGCAGGCTTCAGCTGCCTTCCAGGGTGACATCCCCTTTCATGAGAGGGACCACTTTTGGGGAACTAATGGCCCTTTCTCCATTCATTTTGGATGGTCCATGCTCCTAGGGCCTACTCATGTTTGAACACTTTCAACATTTCCCACCAATCTCTTCTGCTCACTTGTGCTTGTCCTCCCACTCCCAATTCTGGCCAATTATGCTGACAAGACATCAGTTAGCGAATCACAATTCAAATGAGCCCATTCATTTGTTCAGCAGAAAGTAGCCTCTGGAGTAGCTCCATGTGAAGCCCATAGGCCAGAGTTACATATGGCAGGCTTGCAAACGTGAGCGGGATATGATTTATTTATGACAACCATGTGCGTTCAATGCCCAGTTCCAGCAGGCTGTGGCTTCACTTGCATGTCTTGGTCTGGGATGACCTACCTACTCACTGAGTCCCACTGCAGGTACCTTACTTCCATGCTGGGAAAACAGAGATGGTGACTGGCTGAGCTAGGGGAAGGCGAGGGGCAGGGGCTGCATATACAGATGCCCCTAACCCTGTTCATCACATAACAATCTGTGACCAAACGCCAAGCGGGTCAAATGTAACTGGCTGCAAAGGTTTGCCATGGACAATGATTTTCAGTGGAGAGTGGAGAAGTACCTGCTAGAATGACTGACCATGTGGGGTTCATTAAACTGTCGTGCATTTACCCACAAGGAAGGCTGGGATGTTGGCATGGGGAGCCCCACTCCTCATTTCAGAGATTTCAACCCCCCACCATTTAGCAAGGATGCTCCAGAGAAGAATGGCAGATAAGCATCAGGAGGTTCAAACGTGGACTCCAGCAGAAGTGCAGTAAACTTCTGCCTTCAACAGTCTCCCCCCATTTACCCCCCAGTTGTATTTATACTTTGAAAGAAGTTAACATGAAGCAGTAGTCACCTGGGCGTGCTCAATTTTTGACAAGCCTTAGTCACTCTGTACCCAGCAGAACAATTCACATTATATTCAAAATCCTGTGAAGATTCTGCCACACATGCTAACACTAAAATGCCAGTAGCTCCACTTACCTTCTTTATTAAGCCTCATAACCTCCCTGCTTTTTCCACCCTCTTTTCCAGCCTCTTCTAAATCTACATCTGCAGATGAAAAAGAAAAGGAAAAAAGAAAATAAGGAAAACAGGGGGGAAAAAGCCAAAGTCAAGGGGGGAGGGAGAGTGTTTATTTGCAAACAGATCCATATAAATACTGTACATGAGAATCTTGCACAAATTGACAATGCAACATTTTCTCCAAGTCCGGGTTTCCATCTACCTGGCCCAGATAGGTACCAAAAAAACTATGCAAGCAGCAACAGAGTAGCCTTTTAAACAGATAACACCGTGGGGCTGCGAAAGCCCACCCCGCGGGCTGCCACGGGGAGCCGGGCACAGACAGACAGACAGACAGCCCTGGCAGCCGGGCCTCTCTCTGTGCACTGATGATCTGTCTCCGTGTGTATTTATTTAGAGAGAGAGGGAGAAGCATGGAGGACACCGGGGGCCACTCTCTCTCTCACACACACACTTTTTCCCAGTGGCTCTAGGTGAATGGAAAGGTTACAGGATAATAAAAGGAGGAGGAGGCGGTGGGGTTCTTACTGTCGGAGCAGTGTAATTTGGCGGCGTCGATCCAGGAGGACCAGGGTTTGCCCAGAAAC